ATCACCTGGTCTTCCTCATTCACCCGAACTATTTGCTGTTCTCTGGGAGTGTTTTAGGGTTTCTTCCCTCTCTTGTCCACACCAGCCCTGTGCTCTGTGCTCTCCATCCCTTGCATGGTGCACAGACCCCTCCCCACTGCAGAGGGAAAGCTCTGCCCCAAACTTCCCCTCCAAGGCTCTTGAGGAGGAGGAGAAAGCTTTGCACAGGAAGCACCCAGCTCTTTCCCAAATTCCCCCAGGTTTTAGCAGAGGCTCTGCTGCCCCACAGCTCATTCACCGTGCTGTGCTGAGCTGTTCTCCCTCCCTCTGCAACCGATTTATGGGATCTCAGACCCCACAAGAAGCAGCACAGAGGAAACCAGCACCTGCACCCAACACATAAACCACCAGAGCAGGGAACAGGTCCCACAGGAGGAGCTGAAATTTGCTGTGTCTGCATGTGGAAACAGTTCTGCTATCTGTGCATGTGGTTACCTGGCAATTCCAGTGGACAATTTTTGGATTATAATTCCACCACCCGCTCAGCTACCAATTCTTTGCAACCTGTCCCTGCCAAGAAAACTCCAGGAGAAATAAAATCCCCTGAAAATTCTGCTCACAATGCTCTAACTCGGAGTTTGGCAGCTTCCCTCTAAAATTAAGTGATTAAAGCAGTGCTAATGAGACATTCATCCCCTGCACCTTTTTCCCTAAAATAAATATGCAGGGCTCTACATTACAGGTGCATGAAAAATTGCTTAAATAGGCATCTTGGAAGCACAGGGAAAAAAAAATAAAGGACACTCTGGCAAAAAGTTCCCGAAAATACTTGAAAATATAACTGAATAAATAACCCTTTTTTTGGACTGAAATCTGCAGACCTTAGCAGATGTGTCCAAGCTAAACCAAATATCCAGGGAGCTGGATCTCCTTTCTGATGAGAAATAATGGAGAGCACTGCACTGGCAATGAGACAGGCTGGAGGAACCTACTGGCCTTTTCCAGCTCCGACTTCCGTGATTGCTTGGAGTTATCCTTAGGCATTGGCTTGATCCATCAATGAAGTTAGTTATTGAGAGCCCAGGCCCCAGGGCTGGCAAACCTACATCCATATTGAACTGGAAGCATTCAAACACCCATGGAGTGAATAGGATTACTGGATACTTACAGTCAAGCACGTGCCCCTGTCTTTGTGGGAGTGGAAGCACCAGAAAGATGATGATATAAAAAAAGGAGGGGTAAAAATCCTCTTAGGTGGAGGAAAAATATGGGGGACATTTTTTTAAACTTTTTTTTCTAATATTTAAAAAATGCCACCTTTTCTAACGTTAAAAAAATGCCACCACAGAGGTGTCAGCTTAAATTATTAGGTAAAATGCTAAGGCAAATGAAGAAATCACATTCCACAGACCTGCGTGGAGGTGTAAAGGGGATCTTTTCAGTGGAGGCTTTTTTTCCAGGCCCTGCTCTAACAGTACCTGCCATTGTATTTGCAGGGCAGGGTGTAAAATCTGCTTACAGGGGTTTTAGCTGCGCTGCTATACTTTTCAACCCACTCAGTTGCAGGGCACTGCTCCTCCGAGGGCGAAGCCCACGGCAAAACCCTTTTCCTCAATGGCAATGGAAGCAGGAGCAGGCCCTGAGTTTGTAAATATTAACTTATTTCTAATGTCAGATTATTTACTCTCCACTCTTATAACCACCCCAGCCAAGTGGACAGGGTCCAAGTTTGTTAACAATAGCTCTTGGCTGGGACACGCCGTAGCAAAGGTTAAATCCTGTTTGCCTTATTCCAGCGTGGAGCCCCACGGACTCCACCGCTGGCTTTGGGAGGGCGACAGGCTTTGACACTGGGACCTGCCCCCAGTTTTGCAGGATGCAGAGAGCCCTGAGCGACCTGAGCCCTGAGCCTCCAAGCACAGCAGCAAGACCCACCACAAGGAGGGGCTGAGCCCCGGCCAGCCAGGGTTTGTAGCCGTCGAGGGCAGAATTTGCTGCCACACTACTCGGGCACATCCACCTGAGCCTTTTCCCTGGGGCTGCATCTCGCTTGCTGGGAGCAGCTGTGGCCATGGTGGGGATCTCAGTGAGAAAGGTGATCACAGAATCACAGAATGGGTTGGGTTGGAGTGGACCTTAAAGACCATCTCGTCCCAACCCCCTTGCCATGGGCAGGGACACCTTCCACTAGACCAGGTTGCTCCAAGCCCTGTCCAACCTGGCCTAGAACACTTCCAGGGATGGGGCAGCCACAGCTTCTCTGGGCAACCTGTGCTGGGGCCTCACCACCCTCTCAGCCAAAAAGCCATTCCCCCTCGTCCTGTGTGTCTTCATGTGCACACAGGGCACCCCTGTTTGCAAGGTCTGGTCTTACCTCCTCGTTGATCAATCACGCAACAGCAAGCAGTGGAAAGTAGCTGCCATTTGACCAAAAACCTCCAAATTCACACCAAGAAACCAGCACTGGATACCACGATGGACCATCCCAGAACACTTTCAACGTGGACAGAGGAATTGCCTTTACCAGAAGAAGCCCATCTCCACGCAGAAAGGTAGGAGCAGCAGTGGTACTGACTCACCCCACAGGCCTTCCTCAGTCTGTGTGTCATCCTGCTCTTCCTCTCAGCCCTCTCCTGCACTGTTGGTGCCACTGCAGCAAAACATGCTGACCCATCAGGGCACAGGGCGTGCTCTGCCTGGCCTGACCCGCACTGATGGCTCGCAGAGGAAGCGCTCGCCAAGGGGAGCCAAGTGGCCACAGCGCCTTTAGCCGGGGGCACTCACAGCCACAGACATTCCTGCCCTGATTAGGAAGGTTGAGTGGGAGCCAGGGGTGGGTCAGCGATCTCCTTCCTGCGGCTGCAGCCATTCCTGCCATGACTTGGATCACACCTCTCGGAGACACTCTCGGGTCAGGCATGGGAAGTTCACGGCTGCGAACGCGCCGGTGGGGAAGGAGGAAGAGCACGGGGATGGAAGGGAAGTTCACTGGGGTTCAGCCAAAGCTGGGTCTGGAAGAACAGAGGTCTGATAAAAAGGAGAGAGGAATTGCGATGGGCGTGACGCCCCAGGGACTCCTCATCCCTTCTCCAGTCGCTGCAAGGTACTGGAAAGATTGGAAATGAAGAGACAAACTCCAACAAACCCACAGCTCAGAGTGGACTGAAGAAAACATGGTACAGACCTCCTGCCACAGCTCACCTTGATGGAAATCGAAATCTTCAGATTGGATCCTGATATTTCTCATCTCTTCCCCATTGCAAACCGTCCCGCTGAACTTGGACAGGTTTGCTGCACTGCACACACTGTGTGCTCTACAACACAGGAAAGACTAAACAAATCTCTCCAGGCAGTCAGGGTCAAGCCATACCATTTTTATCCCTGAAGCCAAGAAGAAGGAGAAGATTGCACTTCCTAGCAGGGAAAATAACGACGCAGCAAAACGAAAAGAACAAGGGAAGCATTACTCAAATTATCTCCACAGCGAGTGGAGGGATGGGAGTCCAGAGAACAAAGAGATCAGATGACCAGATGGGACAGATCAAGCTGACCACAAAGCCTCTGTCCAGCGTTTTTTGACAACTGACAGAGCCATATGTTCATGAGGATTGTGGGATAACTGGGAAGGGTGTGTGGACTGAGAGAGAGCCCGACCACACTTGGAGCTGTGTGGCTGCAGGGTATGAGCCAGGGAACCTTTGGTGTGTGACCCAAATCACAGCCCTGCACCCTGTGAAGGGAAAGGAGCTGGTAGATCATTTAGCTCACCTCATGATCTGCTCTGACCAGCCATTCTCCTGGGTTTCCTCATGTTTGGTCCATCACTAATGAGCCATGTTCTGGGGGGAATTCTTAGGTCATTTATTTTGCCGTCATGTCTGGTAGGAGAAGTAGCAGGACTATGGCTAATTAGGAAAGCAGACAGATAACACCAAACAAAGCCAAGGACAGAGGGATCGTGTCCATGTACACGAAGGATGGGAGTGACCCTTTCTGCCAGCTGCCCCATGAATGGGAACATCAACACTCCTGAAGGGAAGAAGTGGCACATCCCAGAGGGCCCATCATGGCCTTTGGGCGACGTCCCTGTAAAAAGCACACTTTCCTCATTTATTTTGTCAGCTGCTCCTTTTGATTACTTAGTGCATTCCAAGGAGTGCAGGAAACACGATGGATGATGTTCTGCGAAGTGAAGGTGACAGTTTTCAGGAGTGATGAGTAATGGCAGGTACCCCGCTGGAGATGTGCAGGGACACTCAGCCCTGCCCTGGAAATATGCAGTTTGTCACCCACTAATGAGTGGGTTCTTACTACATGTGGCAAATCCAAGACCCTCCTCAGCAGGACACAGGACCAACCAGCCACAACTACAGGCCGTAGTTTTTCCTCCTTAAAAATGAAGAGAATGTATCCCCATCATATTATATAATTTTCACCCTGAGATAAGTGACCAAGAGGCCATTTCACATTGTGAGTTTTCAAACTGGCCTTGGGCTTTGACAGAGCCTTGGAGTCCCTTTACAACCAGAATAATGCTAATGACTTAGAGCAAAAGTAAAAGAAGTGCCAAAAAGCATCAACCATGGGCAGAGGTGTGCTCCTGTCCGCCTGCAAAACACCTACTGGACACCCTCAAGCTGCACCACAGAAGCCCCAAGACCCCTCCTGTACCTCTTTACCCTGGACCTTGAAGCCCACACAAATCCCACACCATTAACTGGGTCCCCACATGACCCATATTTTTCTATCACTTCCAAGAGGCCAGATTTTCCCTCCATCAGCACATCCAGCCTGTCTTCTGTGCCTTGCTGTAACTTCCCAAAACTCTTGCCCAGAGAAGAAAACACTACATCTTGTTTCTCATCCTAAAGGCTTGTGTGGTTTTTGGGATAGTGCTGCTGGAATTTATATCCCACAGGCTGCTGTTAGCCAGTGGGGGCCAAAAGTTCAGCAAATATGCATGGACCAAGACCCTGGTACTCCCAGTGCCACATTGAAACCTCTTGTACACAGTGAAGAAATGAGTCCAGAGGAGGACACCAAATTGATTAGAGGAATGGAGCACTTCTCCTATGAGGAAAGCCTGAGAGAACTGAGATTGTTCAACCTGGACAAGAGAAAGCTCCACAGTGACCTTGTGGCCTTTCAGTACCTGAAGGGACTTCAAGAGAGCTGGAGAGGGACTTTGGATGAGGGCCTAGAGGGACAGGACAAGGGGGAATGGCTTCCCACTGACAGAGGGCAGGGTTAGATGGGATTTTGGGAAGGAATTGTTGGCTGTGAGGGTGGTGAGACCCTGGCACAGGTTGCCCAGAGAAACTGTGGCCGCCCCATCCCTGGAAGTGTTCAAGGCCAGGATGGACAGAGCTTGGAGCGACCTGGGATAGCGGAAGGTGTCCCTGCCCATGGCAGAGGGGGGTTGGAACCAGGCGATCTTCAAGGTCCCTTACCCTGACCATTCTGTGGTTCTATGATTTCACAAACTTAAAAAGGGGAAAACCTTGTGAACAGGAACATTCATATTGTGACTCCACCACCCGAATGCTCTGAAGGAATCAGGGACAGCAGCACAGCCAAAAACTCAGCAGGGAGGGAGTTTCCCATCACTGTGATGGGAGCATTCCCCTTTGCCAGGACAGCACATCTGCTGCACGCAGTGACCGTCACTCCACAGGGGCTGGACCCATGCAAGGAGCCCATCACTCTGCTCCATCCAGCAGCTCTGAGAGGGGGCTGTCAGCCCTTTCCCGTCCTCCCCCACTCCCTGGAGGCAGCAGTGCTTCCCAGGCAGATGGAACCAAAAACCAGGTTAGCAAACTCCATGCGAGCCCATTCCCGCCGGATAATGTAAACAGGGCTGTCGGGTGCAGCGAGTGCTGCCAGGCTTTGATCAAATCCAGCTGCATGTCCGGCCTCTCCACAGGGCCATCGTCCTGCTCCCCTGCCCCGGCCTTCTGCTGGGAGGGGAAGGAAGCTCACATGGCTCTGCGTCTTGCACCAGCAATTTTGGGATGCGGGAGAAATCATTCGGGTTATTGCAGGAGCTTCTCAGTGGTAGCTGGGGGAAAATTGCTCCCTGCTTTCAGTTCTGAGAGAGGGAAAAATGATGCCTTAAGTTCAGGGACTTTTGGTGGGGTTTGAGCACAAATGTAGCCCAGTAATAGTTTTTGTCCTCCAACAAAGCCAAGGAGATGGGGCAGGATGTTCCCATCAGCCGAGCTGGTCATGGCTGACCCCTTTCTCCCCCAGATCACTTCACCTACCCTGGTGAAATGGCCCAGGTTAAAAAAATAGCAACTGGGGGAGCACAGAACTTTTTACGGGTCTGGATCACCCCAGGGATGTGGTTCACATCCCAGTCTGCAGGTGGTTTCTCACCCAGCAAGGGTCACATCTCTCCTTACATCCCACCCAGCTGGTGCTGCTCCATCATCCCGTGGGATCTGCAGGGCTTGGGCTGGTCCTGGCAAACACCCAGCTCCTGGGGTATGAGCACTGGAGGAGGGAAGGGGATGCAGTTACAGCTGCAGGGACATCCCCTGCCTATGTGCCAACAAGAAGTCTTACAAATAGTCATGTTTCACATCAAGTTTTCCAGAATACTCATATTTTCCTGCCTGCTACCTTTAGATCAGTTTTACCCTGCTGTTTTTTCTATTTATTACTGAAACTGTATGCCTTTCACCTGTTATAAGGCAACTGCAGCCTTAGGAGAGAAGGAGTGAACAAATTGGCTTTTTTTTTTGGTACAGATTTTGTCTACAACTCAGTGATCCCTGTGTTCTGGTTGGGAGAAAAGTGTCTGAGGCTGAAAAACACTAGCATTTTCTGCAGCAGCCTTTTTGAAAGCAGTAACAGCTCAATGAAGTGGTTAGGAGTTTACAAGGGCTCGGAAAAAATTACCTCTTTTTAGTAAGTGTTAATTATATGACTAATTAAATAGAGAGGAGGTTGAAACACTCTCCTAGTCATAACCTGTGTGCTCCCTGCCCGGTCCTTGCGTGACAGAGAAAACAGGGAATGAATCCTGTTTGGCCTTCATGGCAGGAAGTGGCTACTAAACCAGCTCTAACTTCTAATTTATTTACCTGGGAAGCTGTAAGGAACTGTTTTAAAATTGACCAAAGTTTCTGCTACTTAAAAAAAAAAAACTCAAACCCACCAGCCATTCAGTAAAAACACGTTTGGAACCGCCTAAATTTTAAGAAAGAGATATAAAAGGCCACTTTGTTTATGTTTTTCAGCAATGGTATGTTGGCTCCTTTTTTTCCTAAATGACGGCGAAGAAAAAAAACATTATGTTAAATCTCTTATCTTCTCACAAAGTGGTTGCAGCTATCATAAAACACACACATTGTGTCATTTCAAAACACAAATGGGCTCGTGGTCAAACATTCTTCAGATTACCTCCTCTCTTTTTTTTCCTTTATGATTCTGTGGGCATTAATAAAGTTTAGCATATTCAAGTGAGGTGCTTTGTTCCTCCAGTGAGGAATCAATCACAACCTTCTGGAGGAGCACAAAGAAACCCTCAAAGGGGTGGGAATGGAGTGTGATGACTGCAAAGCCCTCCATGATGCCCAGTGCTGTGGTAACAGCCTGTCGCTGCTCCCATGGAATTTTACAGTGCCAAAAGAGATGGGAATGGGGCTGTGATACAGAAATGTGGGGCCAACAGCAAGATGCCTGGTCCAGGGCCTCATTTGACTGTGGGTAGCTCATTTAACCTCCCCATTCATTGGATCAATAGAATAAGATGAAAAATCTCCTTCCATGGGGGATTTAATTTCCATCCAGTTGGAGTATATCTCAAATACTTCAGACCTGGAGTTTCGGGGTAAACCAGCTTTTTCTACAGTATGAGGATGATCTGAGTTCACCAGGCTGCCACAGGGGAGCTGGCAAGGACAGGCACTTCCACCCACTGTCCTCTCCCTCCCCACTGCCAAAAATCCAGGCTCACACAGCTGGCCTGCTTCCACCCACCTGGGCAGGACCTGCTGTTTGAGGGCAGGGCATAAAACCCTGAGCCAAACCCAACTAGAGAGCATCAGCCAGCCCCAGCACTGGGGAAGCTCAGCCAAAAAATAAACTCTAAATATAACAAAAACATGGGAGGTGGAAAGCAAACAGTGACTGTTAAGGTGTGCTGCGGCTCGGGAGGTTACGTGGGAGAGGTGGCAGCACAGCTGCACACTGCCCTGATCCGGTGAATATTCCATGAGTCGAGAATAAAACACTGTCAACAGCACAGCCCAAAGGATGTTTTGGCAAAGCTCAGCACCTCTGATGCTGCTGGGGCCACTGGGTATCTCCTGGCCACCTGAGATAAGGGAGGGGTGCCCCGTTTCCCTGGAGCATCCACAGCCCCTCCAGTACATTTCCCTCAAGGAGGTTATGCACCCCAGAGTCCTCCTCTATCCCAAACTCCCACCCAGCACCTCCAGAGACCTGTTTGACTCAGAGCTTACCGTGGTCTCTGCTGGTTTTGCTTCCCACATCCTGCCCCATTTCCAGGTGACTCAAACAGCGATGTTTGAGTCATGTTTGCAGGTGTTCAACCCAAAAGGATCACACTGCGATGGTCCAAAACTACAGGTGGATTTTCCAGCCCTCACTCATGAAGATTTCCACCCCCTCCCCCTTCCCTCTCTTTTTAGTGTTTTTAAAGGCTCAGTGGCTGCAGACAACTGAGATGTTGTGCAGGAAATACTGCTGGGAGGAGAAGTGTCAGAGAGTAAAGTGGCAGTGCCAACAGACTGGCACCATCCCTGGGCAAACGCAGATCATTTATATTTGACTGTGAAGCAACCATAAGGTGTTCCAACCTGTGAGGAAGCAGAGAACCTGAGAGCCTTCCCCTCCCTTACACCTGGAGTTTTTTCATTCCATGTTGACTCTTCAGCCTCCATCATTTCCAAATTACGCTATTAAAGATGTTTCCAAACAAGCAACTAATCAGGGAACCAGTAGGAGGGCTGACAGAGACTGACTGACGTGGAAAAGATACAAGATTTCTGAAAATGAGCAACTGGAGAACAAGGATGGCTGGTACACACAACCAGCTACCCCACCAGCACATGCATGGCCAGTCAGCTCATACCTCTGAAGCTGCCTTGGCACCCCAGTGTCACCACAGCAGAAACAGCCTGGGGCTGTGGTGATCCTGAGCTTTGAGGACCCAAACCCACCAGAAACCAAGATATACAGTCGGTTTGAAACACACCATCAACCTGCATCCCCAGGGTTGTGCTTTGCTTCGATAGGTTGGTGAGCTTGAAGGTCTGTCACCACCACAGGGACACAGGAGGGTCAAAAAGAGATGACCAAACCACAGTTTGCCTGGGGAGAGGTTTCCTCCTGCAGCAATGGGAACATAGGAGAGACAAAGCCTGCAGGTCTGTGCCTGCCAGCAGCCAGTTGGGACACTGCCAGACCCCATCAGCAGGAACCAGGAGGGAGGTCCCAAAGGCTGGAGAGTGGGTGTCCTCACCAGGTGGTTCACACATAGTGGTGGGAATGCCAGACATGACAACATGCAGGTGACACACAGAAGCCATCATTGCTTTACAAAAGTCATGCCCCTTCCCTCCACCCTTCCAGCACCCAACCTGCCCCACACTCTGTGAGCTGCTCACCCAGAGCCAACTGCTCCAGAGAGATAACCAGAGGGTGAAGGAGGTGAAGGAACAGCAGACACCTGGATATTCAAAATACAAAAGGTTAAAAGCAGCACACACTCTGAAAACAAAGGCTTGAACTTCAAAACAACCTGAACACACAATTTCAGGGAAATTTCTGGAAGCATCTATTACCATGAGAGCGATGGATTTAAGGAACTTATAGAGCCGACGTGCTGAAAACAGCCTTTGCTGGAGCGAGCCGGCCGTGAGTCACCCGCTCCGAGCGGGCACCAGCCCACGGCCGCCAGCAAACAAACACCCCGAGCTCCACACAAACACTGATAACACTTGTGCAGGGCAACAACCACGGGGCCTTTCGGCAGCCAGAACTAATCTATTCCCACTGTTGTTACACCGCATTACTTCAGAGACAAAGTGGGGAATTTTTATTTCCCCCCCCCCTCACCGCTAATTAACATTTGTTCGCGCACAAAATGCGGGAGCCGGTGCCAACCGGACATACCTAGATAGAGCCTAATATTAGATTTCACAAAAGCATTCATCCTGTCTAAACAAACATCCTCCAGACAATATTAACCTTAAAATCTTTGCCCGAGCAGATGTTCGCGCTGCGGGCACGGCTCGGCGTCGTTTCCCAGGATGAGGCAAAGCCTCCACATCCACGGCCATCCCCGCGCTCCAGTTAACCCAGGCACCGACAGGAAAACACGCTGTTATTTTAGGAAGCTTTGCATAAAGCTTGGTTTCGAATTTAAAACCGGATCAGCCGCTATTTGTCCCCAGCAGAGGCTTCGTTTAAGGTCTCCTCAAGTCACCCGCTTTTTGTTACAGCCGGAGTCGACGTCCTGCTTTTCACAGCTGAGAAAATTCCCTGGCAAACGATACACGATGTTGATGAACCAATAATACGGTTCAGGTTCTGGCCGAACAGGCAAGAGGCTGAAATGGGAAAGCAAGTTTTTTAACAATTTGTTATACACAGTAGCAAGAAAAACAGGAAGTAGGTGTTTATTAGCAGTTTCCAAATATACCAGCCAAAATAAAACTCCCCATGCAGTCTGAGGTATTCAAAATACAGCGACGACCAGAATTCCTCAGATTATAAGAGGGTAATTAATCACAAACAGTGTTCACAGACCAGTGATTTGGAAACGTCCTTTTTATTGAAGATCTGGATCAAGAGCAAACTTCAAAGCAAGACTAATTGATCTGAGATTCATTGCGTCTGGGCGATAAAGCAAAAAAATAAAATATCATCCTGACCAAGCCAGGTCTGTGGTTTACATTCACTCTGCCCTGACAGCCCGTAAAGCACATTAAAAAGCCATTTTTCACCGAGTGCTATAGCGCTGACCTATTGCAACATAAAAGCTATTCATACACGGGAGACTGTCGCTTCCTCATAATCAGTGTATTACACCCAAAAACCAGCCGTGTTATTCCAGGCTTGTTCCTCAGGAATGTGAGCATATCTTGGAGACTGATTCATAAAAGGAAGAGAGCAGCCCACTTCTGGGCCAGGCTCACATGCTTTATTCAGAAGTGAAATTTCCGAATTTTGTTTGGCTTCAGCCAGCCCCTTAACTCTGCTAGAGCCGGGTGAGCAACTTGCAATGAACAGCTCAGTCACTAAATGGACTCTTGTTTTCCTCCCTATTTTTCTAAAACTTGACTGAAAACAGTGGGTTTTTTACCAATTCTTCTTCATTAAGGTTGTATGCACATCCCAGCCAGGAGACCGCCATTCACCATCAACCAGCACTCATGTAAACACAATTCAAAACCTCATTCTGAATCCATCAGGCATAAGATGGATAGAGAGATAGATAGATAGATAGACAGACAGATAGATAGATTGATAGATAGATAGATAGATAGATAAATAGGTAGATAATATTTCTTTTATTTTTTTTTCTGTCACTCCATGTTCTTGTCTAAAGTTCCTCTCCAGCTCTCTTGGAACCCCTTTAGGCTCCAGAAGGGGCTCTGAGGTCTCCCTGGAGCCTTCTCTTTTCCAGGTAAACACCCCCAGTTCTCCCAGCCTCTCTCCAGAGCAGAGGGGCTCCAACCCTTGGAGTATCTCCACGGCTTCCTCTGGACTCACTCCAGCAGTTCCATGTCCTTCTGATACTGGGGGCCCCAGAGCTGGACACACAAGTCCAGATATTGTGCCTCTGCCTCGTTTTTCTGGGCAGCCTGAGGAGTCACTGGTAAAAAAATACTGAGGTGACATCCCCTTCAGCCCTAGACCTGGCAGGAGATTTCTGCATCATGAGGTGTGTAAATGACCAATTGCTTGGAGAAGAAATTCTCATTTCAGCTGCCCCTGGGCAGGAGGTGAGCCCTGGCTCTGCCCTTCCAGGGGAGTTCTTGGGGGGGGGGGAAAGACGGGGGAAAGGTCTCCATCCTGCTAGGAAGGCAGAAGTCCCAGCCTGACCGTGGGATGTGGAGTGCTTGGATCACACACCAAACCCTTCCAAAGCCAAGACTTCCCACTTCAAACCCTGTCAAAACACAGACAGTGTGGATGCATCCAATTTATTCTCAATAGGTTTTGCAGACTCTCGTTTTGCTGGGCTGATTTCCTGGAATCAAAGGCAGAAGTCTTTAAGCTGCCAGATTGCCAAAACCTCTGATAAAGATTTAATCCTAAATGCAGGCTGTGATTATTTGATTTCTGTTTTCTTCTTTGCCTGTTGTCTGCTGATATTTTCACCTGTGTCACCTGCTCTCAGCCAGGCAGCCCATTGCTGCAAACAGGAAAAATCACCACGAACAAAACCCTTTACAGGGGATTAAATTTCATCTAAAAGCATGTAATTCTCCGTAGCCAGAAGCAGTTTCTAATCTTCATATATAGGAACTTACAAGGCAAGGAATTCAAAGCCACTGGATTAAATGAAAAATGTGAATGAAAAGCTACATGCTGATACTCAGCTGACCTAGGCAAGTTACTGTACATTTTTCAAAGTTTTAAATTACCACTAATGGAAAACGTGGGGAGCAGGCCTGAAGTGTCTCTCTACATCATTCCTTTAAAAAAAAAAAAAAATAGAAGTCCAAAACAATGAATGAATATTTGCAGATTAGCCCCTGATGCTTTCCAACACGGTTGGCCTCACTTTGCTCTTACTGTATAGATCAGCAGGTATCATCAGATTAGATTAAGACCAGCTGTTGGTTTCTAGTAAAGGAATTTCCCAAAAAGGTAAAATATAATTCAAGCTTAGCAGCCTAGATACTTAGGAAGAATAAAAACCTCTACTCGTGACCGTAAAAAGCAGAGAAAAAGACATTATAGAGCATTTAAGAGCTTTGGTTTCAATTATTTTATATTAAAGGATAGGTAAGATTAAATTGCTCAGACTCTTTATAAAAATAAAAGGGATTGTAAATAAAATTGGAAACAGATATACAACAACCGAGTTCCCACAGGTGCGTTTTCACCACTGGGGAAATACCCGTGTGAAATTCCAGTTTCCCATCATGTAAGGGGAGACAATAAATTCTGAAGTTACCCCGTTTGCCTTCGGACTTCGTCACAGAAGAAGTAACCTCTTGTCTGCTTAGACCCCAGTGTCCCTCTGTGTGTCTCACACCAAAGCAAAGGTTTGTGCTGCCCGCTGGGGGCTCAGCGCAAGATCAAAGCTTTGGGCCACTCACAATAAAACAAGAGGGTAAAGCCCAAAGAATCAAAGAGACAAAGGAAAGGTTTAAGAGATAAGGATCGGCCCCAGATATGATATTTCATCCAGATCAGATCCAGTGCAGAAGTTCAATTCAAAGTTCATAAGACAAAAATACAAAGAGATCAGCTTCGAGGTTTTGCTGTTCTCTATCTCCCCAGGTTCACAGAGATACTCCCATCTTCCAGGAAACAAAGATTCCACCTGTATTATGCAAAACCATATAACTTATCTCCTCCTCCAGGCTATGTATCCACTCGAATTTGTATTTCAGGCATTCCTAACGCCCTCACCCAGCCCTAAACCAAATGCCTGCAGCTGCATCTCCCAAACAAGGTGTGAAGCTGTGGGGTAACCAGCCAAACCAGAAACCTGCTCCCTTCCTTGGAGAAAGGCACCTCTCTACTCACTGAAGCTCAACCAAGTCGGCATGCTGAAACATCTGGAGCTAAATCCTTTAAAAACTAAAAAAAAAGCCAAAAAAACCCCAAAAAACCCAAACAAACAAACAAACAAAAAAACCCCTGCACATCTGGATTTCTCAGAGGCGCCAAACTTGACGCATATTATATTTACAGCTATAATTGTCTTGGCTTACAGGGGAGTGCTTGGGAATTCCTCGGTTGAAAGAGTCCATTGATCAAGAATTTAGGAATGGTAGGACAATGGCTGGGGAGGTCTGTAGGTGTCTGAAGGAAGAAGAAGCAACTGGGAACTGAAATGTCATTGCCCTTGGGCAAGGTGTGCTCACTTGGCACTGCCTCCCCTGGGAACACCTCATCTGAATGTTGTGAAAACATTATCAGTGGCTCTCAGTTAGTTGCAAGCAGGATTCCAGCAACTGCAAAGTACTGTGCTTCAACAAAATCCTATAGCTCTTTTAAACATCCATAAAAAACACAACAAACACAGCATATTCCTCACAGTGGTACAGATTCTCAGTTTTGGTCACAGAATCATAGAATATCCTGAGTTGGAAGGGATTCACAAGGATCATCAAGTCCAACTCCTGGCCCTGCACAGGCCAATCCCATAAACCACACCTTGTGCCTGAGACTATTCTCCAAATGTTCCTCGAACTCAAACAGCCTTCATGCCATGGCCACTTCCCTGGGGAGCCTGTTCAGTGCCCAACCACCCTTTAGGGGAAGAACCTTTTCCTGATATCCAACCTAAACCTCCCCTGACACAGCCTCATGCCATTCCTCAGGTCATTACTCTCCAGAGAAGAGATCAGCTTTGCTTTTACTTCATCCCAGTCCTTGTTACGGTGGCAGATTCACCAAATCACAGGCAGAACCACCCTGTGTCTCATGGATGGATGGATGGATGGATGGACAGATGCTTCAGGGGTGCAATGCCCACGAGCAGGTCCCCAGAACAGCCCCAGCTACTGCCAGACCGACACAGACCTGTGTAGCCCTTTGGGGTGGGCAGGTCACAACGCACCTGACAAAGGCTGGGCCATGGTCATCCACAACCACGCAGGAGAACAGCAATAAGTGATGGAGACACCTCGTGCCTGCACACGGAGAGCTCTTAGGGGTGTCAAGCCTAGGGAAAGGGCTCAGCATGATTATATACCACAGGATTTTGAAACACTTATGGCCAAAACACATTTGTGATCATATAACTCGCCAGTCTCATGCAATGGTTTGCAGACAAGTGGGTTATTTCAGGCAGGGGTGGGCAGAGCCCTGAGCTACCTTATGTCAGGTGAGGTTTCCACCTGAAACCACCTCCAGCAGAGGCTGCTCTTGCAGCTTCACACCCTTTCGCTCACTTCCCTCACCCCACTGCTCAAATGGACTCACCCTCTTCCACAAATATTTACCAGAACACCTACAAGCCATTGCTTTCACCCCGTTGTGAAAGAGAAGAACTTCCTAACCTTGGGAAGCACCAAATCGAAGGCAGAAGTAGGATGCAGCAGAGGATAACACAGAAGAGTCAAGGAAAGGTTTGCAAGCACTGATGAGCATCCCTCTCTGTGCACAGCACGGGTCAGGTGCCACTGCCTCCATTGGCTCTTAGGTAGAGCTGCACAAAGCTGAGGGGGGAAAAAAGCATGGAAAAGGGGGTTTAGAAAAGCACAGTGTAAAAATTGACCAGAAGATACAGTTCTTAAATCTGGTGAGTCCTGCAGGCTTGTGGTCAGGTCAAGCTGGTTAAATATGGGCTGCAAATATACAATATAGAGCAAATGGGGCAGGGCACAACACAGCATCCTTTCTCTTACAGGGATGCTTTTGGCATTAAAATATTAAAGGGCATTGTTAGGCCTTGATGGGGTAAATGCATCCAGCGACAATGAGATTGCACCTGAGCCATGGGATGCATGCACAGCCTACTGCAGGCTGGCAGTGAGGTCTCCAGGGCAAAGAAGCATTTTCTGAACCAAACAGACCCTGTGATGCTTTCCCAGGCACCAGCATAGCCCTGGATTATCCCACTGATTTTCCACCGTGGAGGAACCTGGACCCCAAAAGCCGATGCCTCCCGAAGGATCCGGGTTGTGCTTGCAGGGAGAACACATGGAATTAAGAAAACCACGTGGCTGTTTCGATACTTTCTGCTTTGAAAGAGGTTTGTGAATAACTCACACGCAGCACCCTGGCACGTGAAAAGCCTAATTAGAGGCAGCCTGGAGCATGAAGACCAACCCTACCACTGCTTATCTGGTGCAGCACAAGTACATCAGCTCCAGAGGTTTTATTTGGCCAGGGGGGAAGATGGGTCCATGTCAACACCATGTACAAACTGACCAACTGCAGGATATGGGGGTTTTTCATTTTACCCCCTAGAGATCACACACCTGCTGAAGTTCCCTTACATGTTGTCTCCTAAGGTGCTTGCACAACATCCCCACCACAGATACATTGGCCACAACTGTCGAGCATAGTTCCAGTCTCATAAATCTTCCAGCAATTTTGAGGCCTCATTCAACCTCCCTGTGAGATAAAACAACCGCTGCATCGTGGGGTCATGGTGTTTTTTGGATTTTTTTTTTCCCTTTTTCTGTTTCTTTCCAGCACATCAAGGCTATGAAATGACAGCTGCAATGTGCTGGTCAACGGTGCTTCTGCCATGAGGCTGTGACTGGAGCACTCCAGGGTTTCAGGGGCACGGATTTCCTGTGGATTCCAGGATTTCAGTCCTTGCTGGTCTGGTGACAAGGTGATCCTTGAGCATATTAAACATGGAGATACCAAGGCTGGGATGCAGGGAAGGTCAGTACCTGGGCACTTGTATTCCCAGAGAAGCTGCGGCTGCCCCGTCCCTGGAAGTGTTCAAGTCCAGGTTGGATGGGGCTTGGAGCAACCTGGGCTTGTGGGAAGTGTCCCTGCAGGGGGTTGGAATGAGATGGTCTTTAAGGTCCCTTCCAACCTAAACCATTCCATGATTTTCTCACCATTTGCTCAGACACAGATGGGAGACCCGTGCAAGCCTGGGAAGGGCTCCTCCTGAGCTCAGTGGGTTTGGATGCAACACCAAGATTCAGCTCGAACTGGGAATGTTTTCCAGCAGAAATTACCCATCACATTGC